TATATTCTTTAACAGCGCTCTTCTTTCTTTTCGGGGTTTCTATAGAACGATTGATAGAGATGATTAAAGATTCATGAGAAAAAGATCTTAACTAATAGAGTAAGAGTTGTGTGACCCTGAAGAAAATCTCATGCCTCTGTTAGGGTAATATCCGTGTCGCGAGTGTTAAAATGGTTTCACTTTTGTTTCCTACTTTTATAGCAAGACATTCATCAACAGGACTCAAATCAGAGCTAAGATCGACAAGGAAAAGTTTTACGATACCATACGTGCAGTAACGATAAAACCTATAACTATGGAATACTGACAAAGACTGGTAAAATGCGCTCCCATATTGAAACTTCCACACCATTAGGATACCTGTAAGACATCTGTCATTTATTGGTGATAGAAATTATTGTTTTCGAGAAAGATTTCTGTGTGATATAAGCTTAAAGGAGTGCTGTTGTTCGAACTGTTGCCGATTTTGGTTATTGAAGTAGGTTAAAAAGGGTAGGGATGAAAAATTATCATTAGTGTAAAGTTTAATTTTCTATATCGCTTTCGACTCTATATTGACGAAATACCCATCAGTACCTAACCTCGGTACAATGTTTGTAACAAACCCGGACAGTACCTAGGACAACGGTTAACGTGGCCGTAATGACCATAAGCAACCAAGGATCTACAGTTTATAATTGTTTATGACAGTGTACAATACGTTGAAATACGGCCGTTGTATAATCACGATCAAGACGATAAGTTGCAGTTCTTCACGACTGTTTAGGTTCACACTTGTTTGGCCTGGGTATACTGGCAGTATGGGTATTTGTATACAGGCCATGTTTCAACTCTGGTTCGAACTTTTTCACATGGCGAACAGGATTTTTTTAATTTGTTCTGAATTTTTAAAGTTCGCCCGTGAGTTTTGTGTTGCTTTTCTAATGTCTATTTCTGGATTAAATGGCTGCGGACATTTTTTCAATAACCTTTGATTGGCTAAGGCTATCAAGCTTAAAGTCGTGTAGCTGGAAAGACTGGACTGTGAGGCGGCTTTCTGTATGATTAATTTGAGTCGACAGACAATTTTTTACGATTGTTTATACTTCGATATGTTGTTTTTGTCTTTTTTTCAATAATTTTTTTTCACATTCTAACTCTCACTACACCAAATTGTAGCCAGAATTTCTCTGCATCTATGGTAAAATTACCGTACATTCAAATTATCTTGTTGAAGAAAACAGATCAAAAGACAATATGAAAATGTCAAAATTTTACCATATTTACAACAGAATTCCAGCAACAATTTGGTATGTTGAGAGTCAGAATGTCAAAAAAATTCGTTGAAAAACGACGAAAACAACATATCGAAGTATGAACAGTTGTGAAAAGTGTCTGTGGGCTCCAATGAACCATATAGAAAGCCACATTACAGCCCAGTCTTTTCAGTTATGCAACTACAAGCTCGATAGTCTTAGTCAGTCGAAGGTTATTCGGAAAATGGTCACCGCCATTTAACTCCGAAATGAACACTAGTCATTAAAAATCATATGGGTTAGTCTTGTTATAAACTTTTCTCTTCATTTTATCTTCTTCCTTCTGAATGAGACACACAATAACACCTCACACATATGACGCACTCGTGCACAACATTAAAGTTACGATATGTACATCGTATGCCACAGTGTCTTCGCTTTTTCTTCGTTCTACTTATCGTTTGTCGGAGATTACGAATTGTTAAGTTTTCCATGCAACTGACTGAGCACTGCCATAGTTTGGTATGATGCCTAACTATTCTAACTGTTTCAGTATTAGATTATCATTTTTTTTGACGTATTACATCAGACAGTATTTATCAACTCAAAACATACACTGAGTACTGTGAAGAGTAAGTGAAATGAGTACGATATAAACGTTTATCTTAACATCTGCCAACTGGATGGAGGTTAATTGATTCGTTGTTCTTTCTTTTTTTTCAAATTCCAGATAAAATCGACCCTAGGAAAAAATGATAACACGCTCTTCTCAAATGGAAAGTTCTGAACCAGGTATCATCATTCTTGGCAATGCTGGAGCGGGCAAGAGTTATATTTGTAATATCCTTGTTGGGTATGAGCGATTTAAAGCCGAATTCCAACCTGAAGCAGTGACAACTGAGACAGAATATCATCGGATTACCGTAGGATCGAATTCTTTCCGGATTTACAATATTCCAGGATTGGTCGAAGTGAATCAAGAACAGATCGACCGAAACAAAAGAGAAATCATGAAAGCCTTTGACCAATCTCCAACATCGGTTGTCCTTTTTGTATGGACACAGATTGGTGGACGAGCGCAGAACGATGATGTTATTGCTTTCAACGCCCTCAACGAGGCCTATCAGTTTCCATCAGGATCGCTCATGTTTATTATCAACAATATACCACCCAAACGGCCATTTGATTACGAAGCAAAATTTCTTACCACGCTCACAAATACGCTAAAGCCAATGCCAGTTGCGATGGATGATACTTTTTTCCTTGATCACATGGATCTTGAAGACAAAGAAAAAATCAATGAAGCGCATTCTAGGCTCATGTCTTTCATCACTCACCATCATGCATCCTTGCAACGCAAACATGCTGATATTATTCTACAATCCGACCAGCTCAAGAAAATGCGAGAACTACTCAAGAAACAACAACAGGAGGCTGAAAAAGATCGGGAAGCATTTCAAAATCAAATCCAAAATATGATGAAAGAATACCAGATTGCGAAGGAACAGGAGGAGAAGCGATATCAGTTAATGCAAGCCGAACTCGATGCTGTAAGAATGAAAGCTGAAAAACAGCGAGCAGTAAGTTTATTACTGTACGCAGGATTACTTTCATTAAGTTGTTGCATGATTTTAGGCTGAAGCGGAGGAGCGACGAAAACTGGAAAAACAACAACAAGAACAACACGAACAATATCAACAACAGCTAGCAGTAAGTTTATTGTTGTAATAAAAATTGTTTCGTTAAGTTGTTGCATGATTTTAGACTGAAGCGGAGAAGCGACGAAAATTGGAAAAACAACAACAAGAACAGAACGAACGATATCAACAAAAGCTAGCAGTAAGTTTATTACTGTAAGCAGGATTGCTTTCATTAAGTTATTGTGTGATTTTAGGCTGACGCGAAGGAGCGACGAAAGTTAGAAAGACAGCAACAAGAACAACACGAACGATATCAACAACAGCTAGCAGTAAGTTTATTGTTGTAATCAAAATTGTTTCATTAAGTTATTGTGTGATTTTAGGCTGAAGCGGTGGAGCGGCGAAAGTTGGAAGAACAACAACGAGAACAAAATGAACGACATCGGCAACAACTAGAACAAAATGAACGATATCGACAACAGCTAGTAGTAAGTTTATTACTGTAAGCAGGATTGCTTTCATTAAGTTGTTGTATGATTTTAGGCTGAAGCAGAGGAGCGACGAAAGTTGGAAAGACAACAACAAGAACAACACGAACGATATCGACAACAGCTAGCAGTAAGTTTATTGTTGTAATCAAAATTATTTCATTAAGTTATTGTGTAACTTTAGGCTGAAGCAGAGGAGCGACGAAAGTTGGAAAGACAACAACAAGAACAACACGAACGATATCAACAACAGCTAGCAGTAAGTTTATTGTTGTAATCAAAATTATTTCATTAAGTTATTTTGTGATTTTAGGCTGAAGCGCAGCAGCGACGAAAATTGAAAAAGCAACCACAAGATGATATTTCTGTTCGTGTTGCCACTGATCTAATTGCTGCTCCTATTGCTACTGTTACTGGTACTATTAGTGGTACTGTTACTGGTGTTAAAACTGTTATGGATCCTTTTGTTGAATTTATTGATGATTCTGATAATAATGCTGTTCTTCGTGCTGCTGCTGTTCCTGTTGCTATTGTTGGTGGTGCTGTTGGTGGTGCTGTTGGTGCTGTTGCTGGTACTATTGAGGGTGCTGCTAAAGGTGTCAGTCGCATTTTTGGTAGTATCTTTGGAAACTGATGTCATCTATTGGATACTCATTAAAAATGTTTGTGACTTGGACATTACTGCAGTTTTCAGTTTAATTGATTATCACTACGTTTTGTTAATGATTTCGAAGTAAATGATTTAAACCTGATAAAGCTATATTGAGAGTGAGAGTGACAGTGAGAGAAGCACACCAAACCGGTTTTGGGTGAGTTAATATAAAGTGATTTAAAGTATCATACGACGCGAAAGATCTCATCACTTAGTTAAGACTTCGTAATTAAATTATTCAGATGATCCGAAGATCACAAAATAAATTATATAACATACCTCTTTACGAGAAATTCGAAGAAAACTTTACGTAACACTATGTGTCTGAGGGTGTGGGTGAGATCCGCTGCCATGATCTAAATTTCGCCCCTCCTAGAGTACTCCTCAGATGGTTTTAATATTAAATTTAATTCAAAAGAATTAAATCAATATTATTTACTCGAAAACCAGACTAATTCTATTTTCTAGCGAAAAGACAAAACCAATCTGCTATTCCTAACTTTTACTTTTCATCAAATCAGCTAAGTGGAAACTTAGAAAAAATTTGAGATGTTGTGCTTGTAAATAAAGAATAAATAAATGCAAAGTTCGGTGGATGTGCGTGTCAGTGCCAGTGTGGATGTTGGTATGGGTGTGGGTGTGGGTGCGTATGGGTATCGGGTGCGGTTCTGGGTGTGGGTGTTCGGTGTGGGGGGGTTTCGAGGGTGGATGGGGGCGGGGGGGGGGGGGGGGGGGGGCTGGTT